AGGAAACACCCGGCAGATAACTATGTTACCTACCTTCTGAGGTGAAAGTCAGATTTGTTGGCAGAGCTGATGTTTTCAGAGGGCATTTCCTAGCAGTTTCAGCTTCACATATTAGGCAAATGTGAAACTGACTAGGACCCATGCCAACTTTTGTCCCCTTTGTTTAAAACTTAATTTTAATTTAAAATTAGTGAATAATTACATTAATTTCTTGTGTTATTAAATAAAATTTGTATAAATAATTTATATAAATAAATTTTTTCATATGTTCGAGATATTTGGTATGAAACAAAGGTGGATTAATTAATAAATTAAAAACGCTTGGTGTGCTTTTTAAAGGGTTTTGGATAAACATATTTATATAAAATATAATAGTATATTTAATTACCTTCATATAAATAAAAATTTCCCGAAAATGTTGCGCCGAAGGATGCAGAAGCAATAGTCTACGAGAAAAGGAGAACATAAATGATATGCCTACATTATTTTGCCAAAAAAAGCGATTCGACTCAACGAAGTATTTTTTAAATTGTAAGAGCTTTAAATTTTATTCTGTGTCCTGTTGCAAATATAATTTAATCAATTACCTACTAATATTAAGATTTTAACGATTTAAATAAGTAAGTACTTTAATCTCTAATAAAATAAAATTAAATAATTTTATGTAATTTAGGTGAATGCATAGGTATATTTATGTGATAAAATTTACAGCTTTTCTCATTAAATATTACTAGTTTTAAGAAAAATGAAATAAAAATTTTATTTTTTTATGTAAATATGGTATATAGATAATAAAAAAGTGAATTCGAATTTTTGTTTTTAAAAAACAATTGTTTTATGTATTTACCGTTTTTGTTTTACCAAAAAATTCTTTATTACCTATAAGTTATTATTCCAGTTTGTAAGAACATGAAATTTAATTTTATTATTATTTAAATGAAATAAAATGAATTCTGTATATATTTTGTATTTAATCGTTTTTATTTTTCAAACACCCCAAATCAGCATGAACATTTCTAATTTATTCTAAAATACCTGATATAAGAATAAGATATCTCTTAACAAAAAGAGCGGAGATCAATTTTCAATACACCGTATGTGCGTTATGTATTAGTAAATCGTGTATTGCGAAAAAAAATTATCATTACCTACATAGCTTTCAAAACCATACTAAATAAAATGAGATACAAAAACATAACTTAAAAATTTCACAAAAAAAATATTAAATCGGAATTGGGAATGCTTCGAAAACATAAAGCATTAAGAATTGTTTTTGTAACTTTTTCTGATTTCAATATTTCGGAAAATAACTTCAGCCTTGTGATCTGATGGACATGTATGGCATTACTTGGCCCTAACAAGCCGAATTCACTGATTTCTCTGAACTTCCTGGTCAGTAAATTTACAAACCGATAAGAGTTTCTTCATAACATTTCTATACAAGTTTCTTCATTACTATGTTTGTCTTCGTGATTGAGAAAAATTGGAAACTTAGAAAATAATTAATATTATGAAGGTTATAAAATTTTATAATTATTATAAAATTTTAAATATTATAATTCGATTTCAAGCTTAATTTGTAACTTAAAGCCTAAAAAAAATTATTAAAATTTATTTCAATTCGTGTATGCTAAAACATAAATATGTACACTTTTTTTTTTATTTTGTGTATAAATATTTCTCTCAATTCCCTCACATTTTACAAGAAAGCTGAAAGAACTCAAAAATAAAATAGCTCTGTCTGGTATGAAAAGAGAAAGCAGTGACGATTTCAAAACAATATAAGCCAAACAAAAAGTTGAAAGAACTTTTAAACACTTTATTAGATATTATAATGACTCATTATATACTTGTTGTTATTTATGACTAACTTTATTATGAAAAAAATATATTATACGATACTTATGAAAAAAATTTATTGTTATGTAATATTTCCGATAGTTATTGTAGTGCTAATATTATGAAATTTACATATCGGCATTGTATCGGACCATTTATCGTATTTCAAAAAAGTTTTTTTGTTATGCATGTAAAATAGCATTTATCGTTTCGTTTCGGCTTCACCTGCACCTAATATAAAAAAAAAAACACAAAGAAATATTCCTTTACAGAATTAAAAATATTGTATACATATATGAAAAACAATAACAGCATATTTGATCCTCGAATCTGTATTAATATTTTCATACCTATACATTAATTGTGTAATATTGACCTGAAAAATAAATAATACGAATGAGTACACATACAATGCAAAAATTGAATTGGAAATCAAGTTACCTGCGCTGAAATGTGTTAACCACTTGCTGCTTAGCAAACCATATCTACCTTAAAACATTATTCAACTAGTCATCTTTGATTTCCTGCAAAAAGAAAGATATAATAAATAACCATTGCATTAGAATTTAATACTTAAATAAAATTGAATTTAAGTTAAACTTAAGTAAAAAAAAATTATGATGATGCTCGTTGGCTGACTACTCGTTTTCGAATGGCCTTGGCAGCATTGACATCGTGATGGAAATGATTGCCAATATAATACATGTATAGTTCAACTAAAGATTCTGTAATTGCGTTTTTATAATTAATTATTTAATATGTTGAATCTGAAGAATTATTTTGTGAAGCGGCAAGATGACAATTACTTTTCTTTTTTGAAATTTTAATAATTGGTGTTGCTATTACTACTATTGGAAACATGCTGGCATGTGAGTGAACGCTACTGCTGCTGATTTGTTGACTGCATTTGATGATGTTCGTTATGTTGATATTCGGTGGCTATGCAAACATAAATTAGTGAACGATGGGTCCTTGTGTACGTGAATGATGCTGGGTTCCGCTGGAATCACCTTTGAAAACATCGTTGGTAACTAATAATGTGTAAATTGGTAACTCAAGGATTTAGTAATCGTTCCAAAAAGTTGTTCTCATATTGTTCATGCATTTAAGCCTTTTCTAAAGTCGCCTAGACTAAGTAGGCATAACATTTAAGTTCAGGTTAGTTAGCCTAAGTAGGTGTAACATCCAAGTTGAAGTTAGTAGGTTAAGTAGGTTTAACATCTAAGTTGAAGTTAGTTAGATTAAGTAGTTGTAGCATTCAAGTTGAGTTAGTTAGACACGGTAACTATAAAACCTAACAAGCGTCTGCTTGTGTACTTAGCCGTCTCGATCTTGACAAACATATTTAACATGTAACAAACATATTTTAGCGATTGATCGCTTCAGGATCCCACCCCTTGTTTTTACCTGCACTACTCGAATTAGTCCGTCTGAACCAGGATGTACCTCAATAATTCTTCCAAGTAGCCATCTCGTTGGAGGTAGATTCTCATCTTTTCTATTCCACTTTGGTCTTTGTTGGAGAAGTTTCAAATGCTCCTTATTCCATCTGTGTCAAAAAGTTTGAAGTAGGAATTGCAAATGTTGCCATCGATCCATACGATTAATTTTCAAATCCAATACTGAAGGATCCGGTGGTGTGATCAAAATATCACCAATAAAAAAATGTGCTGGTGTGAGTGCGGTTAAATCATTTGGATGACTACTTATTTCACATAAGGGTCTCGAGTTGAGGTACGCTTCAATCTGTTATATTAATGTTGAGAATTCCTCATAAGTTAATATATTGTTGCCAACAATTTTTTTTAAGTGCAATTTTGTTGAACGTACAACAAAATTAGTACCATTATCACAATATAGTTGCTCACTTTTACCACGCCTGGAACAGAATCTGTGACGATTTCTAGATGAATGGCCTTGATTACCATACATATGAATAACGCAATGTATGACTTATATTTTTTTGGATTTTTTCCTTTGTGTGTTTTCATTTCGAATGGACCACAATAATCCAAACCCATGTAACTAAATAAACGACGTTTTCTTACACGCGATATTGGTAGACTTGCCATAAGTTATTTTTGAGCGGATTCCTTTCACCTATAGCAAGTTATACACTTATATATGTGATGTCGTATGGTATTTCTTGCATTTAAGAGCCATTAGGCTACTAATGAATTTTATCAATTAGTAGTCATGTAAATCTATTTCCGTCAGGTAAAACAATAGGGTACCTCTGGTTATATGGTAAAATTGCATTATGTAAACGACCACCCACTCTAATTATATCGTTAGTATCGACAAACGGGACCAATTTAGCCAATCGACTCTTGCTCGATACCAAGCCCTGTTGTTTCAAAGATTTACGTTCAGCCGCAAAGTGTTGTCCTTGTATAAAACGAATGAGTTCATACAGCGATGCTCTGGCCTCCTTTGATGTGATGTATTTTAATTTAATTTGATTTGTGGGATTTCTGTAATTTTTGATAAATCTTCGCATGTAGCTCAAAATTCTCAATATTCTTTGCAAACTTGATTGATTGTTCAATAATTCTGATAGCACATTGACGTTTTGGCATTTTCTAGATAAGTAAGCTGTTTTTCTTATTTCGAGATCAATTGACTTAGCTATTTTCTTACGTGGCCAATTTTGTTCTGGTTTTTTAAGCCATGTAGGACCGTTCCACCACATCGTATTTTGCTGTAGTTCTGAGGGATAAACTCCTCTAGATGCGCAGTCAGCTGGGTTTTCCTTCGACGGAGCATGTGACCAATCATTTTCACCAAGGTTTTCATGGATTTCAGTTACGCGATTTGCTGCAAATGATAACCATTTGCTAGGATGAGCTGAAAGCCTCACATATCGTTTACCATCTGAATCTGTAATGCAAAGGTAAACTACTGCTGCATAAGTCTTTATTGAAGCATCCGAAAAGCCATGCATCTCTATTACAGTTTTTTGTATAGAAAATCCAGCGACTCAGTTGAATATTTCAAATTTTTTTGAAACCCATCACAATATTTTTTCCAGTCGTTACATATTTTCACCTGTTATTTCCTCGTCCCAATCTACTCCAGATAGCCAAAGTCGTTGCATGATCATTGTTACCAAAACGATTGATGGTTCAAGCCAACCAAGAGGATCAAATAACTTAGCTATTTCAGATAGAACCTTTCTTTTTGTCCACGTTATAATTTGAGACATATTCATTTGTTGTATATACAAATCTATCAGTCGATGGATTCCACTGTATACCCAACACACGAATTGTTTCATCTTCACTCGTATTTAATGGGAAATTGATCTCACGGTGTTCCTTCGGCACAGCATTTAAAAGATCTTGTGAATTTGAAGCCCATTTTCGCAGTATAAAACCACCAGCTCTCATTAATTCAATTAATTGCTTTTGAATTGTTAAACCTGTTTTTATGTCATCTGATCCCGATAGAAGATCATCAACGTAAAAGCATGACAATATTATTTCAGCTGCAACAGAGAGCCTATGACCTTCATCTACGGCACGATTGTTTGATGTGATTCCCTGGCATATCCGGGGAATCACATCAAACAATCCATTGGAAGTTTACATGTTTAGGTGAAACGTATATTTGCCTGTACATTTTTTCTAAGTCGGCGGTGAAGGCTATTTTGTTTATTCGCCATCTAATAAGCAACGAGGCCAATTCATCCTGTAACACTGGACCCTTAAACATTTTGTCATTTAGTGACACACCTGTACTGGTAGGACGTGAAGCATCGAAGACACCTCGCAATTTTGTGGTTGTATTACTTTTTTTGACTACTCCGTGATGCGGAAGATAGCTCGAGCCCATCTCGTCCAAATCTAGATATTCTTGCACGCACTTTTTGTAGTTGTTTTTTAAACCTTCATCATTTTTAAAACGTCTTTCCATTGCCAATAATCTGCTAACAGCAACATTTCGTGTTTTTTCAAAAGACGTTTCATCACTTTCAGGTCTCAACGGTAATTCGACCATGTATTTACCTTTTGATAGGCGTGTATGTGTTCTCATAAAACGTAACTCACATTGTTCTTCCTCCAAAGTGAGTAATTTTTTAGTGGATATTTTCTCGATCTCCCAGTATTTCTTGAGTTCTTCATTTAAATTACCGTATTTATAGAAATTTGAGATGAAATTAGTTGTGTGACTCGATTCTTGTACCTCTCCAGACAAAATCCATCCAAATATTGTTCTCTGGGCAATTGGTATACCAACTGGACCTTTTTCCGCGCCATTTAAAAGTATGCGACCATAAACGTCAGCACCCAGAAGCAAGTCCACCTTAGACGGAATATAATATTCTGGATCAGCCAGTTTTAATCTTCTAAGATGCATCCTAATCACTACTGAATCGTCCCTAATCACTACTTTTTCCGGTATCATGTGCGTGAGTTTTTGCAATAATAGACCAGTGACCTCAATCTGTTCTAGATCACTATGACTCAAAGTGCCCAAGAAGAATTTCGCTGAAAATTTTATTTGAGCAATTGATGTTTGCCCAACAATATGTATCTGTGCGCAAATTTCCTTCCGCTTCAAACCAATTTGTTGAGCCAAGGTCTCACTTACGAATGATGTCTGGGACCCCGGATCAATTAAAGCTCGTGCAACCTGGCATCTGCCGGAAATCGGATTAATTATTTTGACAAGTTGGGTAGCCAACAATATTTGCGATGACTGATTCGTTGTATTAATCGAGTATGTCTGAAACTGCAAGTCATTTTGTATGGGTGAAATCTGATCAGCTCGCGAGGATCCTCCATTTGAAGATGTGCCTGGTATGTTGCCATTGTTTCTGGGTCTACCATGCATGCTAAGTGGCTGAAAGTCTCGGGAAGTTTCATACGTACGATGAAGTAAGGTGTGATGATTTTTATTACAGAACCTACATTTACTTTTACTTTGACAAGTCGAAAATCTATGACCACTACCTAAACAATTTAAACACAGATTCTTAAGTTTTGCTAATTCTATTCTTTTTTCAACTTCTTTATTTAAAAATTTTTTACAATTTCTTATATGATGAGGTTCATTACAATTCACACAAAGTGCGGAAGCAGCGAATAAGGTATATGAATTTTGTTTAATTTTTTGGTTGTTGTTACAATTTTTCTTTTGATCCTGGCAATTTTGACCCTTTTTTGTTGAATTAGCTTCCAGTGTTCGAAATTTTGTCTCTAAAAACTGCGCGAGTTCTCCCAATGATGGAATACTTTTGCTGCAACCTATACTTTGCTCCCATAACTGGTGCGTCTCTGATGGAAGTTTTTGCACTGTCAGATAAACTAAAATGGGGTCCCATTCTTCAACCTCCACCATCATATTCGTTAAAGCTTGCAGACATTCGTTAGTTATATCGAGTAGTTTCCTTATTCCCGCAGCGGATTCATGTGAGGTTGTGTTTTGGTTTAACAATATCTGTAATTGAGTATTTACGAGTACCCTTTTGTTATCAAAGCGATTTCTTAATGTGGACCAAGCTGCAGTTGCTATCAGTTACTTGAAAAAATCGTAGTAATTTTTCTGGTTCACCCACAAGATGTAACTTTAGATACTGTAGTTTTTGAACAGGTGCCAACATTTCATTAAAGTCGACCAATGATTGAAATTAGTCATGAAAAGATGGCCACTTCGTCTAATCTCCATCGAATTTTTGCAACGTAATTTTTGGTAGTTTCACAGCCATGGATTTCACTTCCTGAGAGGAGTTCAAAATTTGATTGTTGCGACGATTCAAATCGCTGATAGGAAACTTTGAATACATTTCACGCTCTATTTCTCTGTAGCGTGTTTGATATAACTCCCGTATTTGTTTGACGACGTTCTTGTCTACGTAGTCTCCCTTGGATCCATCTGTAGAATATGTCACGCCACATGTCATCAACATCTTTCAATATTTCATCGTAATATGTTTTATCCCTATCCGTCCGGTCATCCTCTCTGAAATTGGTCACATGTTCCCCAAGGAGATGCTTATCCGCTAATTGTTTATTAACCGCCTTTTTCATTTTTATATCCGTTTAAATATTTTTTCGCCAGCCCGATTTGCTACAAGAATATTATTAACACCAGTATAAACCTTCTTTAGTTTTATTGAACAAATCTAAAAATAATAATATAGTAATTATTCAAGATAGCTAATCAAAAAAAATTTTATTATAGCAAAAATTTATTGACAGTCAAACCAATCGGCACCGCTAGTGCGCGTTACTGCAGCCAGTATAAAATTGAGACCGTTAGTGTGCAAAATTCCTTTAACTTTCTCCTTTTTATTATAAATCACTATTTAATTATTAACAGTTTCAAGTTCACAGTTTTAAATTGTCTTTATATTATTTCCTTTTTTTTTTTGAATTCACATTCTTAGTATCACAATTTTCAAATAATTCTAGTTTTATTCCGAAAACCACAACTCCTTAATAAAATTCTTTATGTACCTCAAAGAAATAAAAGCTTATAACTTTTGGCAACGTTAGTGCGCGTAATCCGTCTAATTTTTTGTGAACACAAATCAAAGTTCAGCATACAATTTTCAATTTTTTAACACAGTTGCTTTTTTTAATAATTTCATTTTATTCAAAAAATTATAGTTTGCCAGCAAATCTTTTACTGATATTAAAAAAAAAATATTGTCAATAAATTTGGCACCGTTAGCGCGCGTAATTTATCCAAATTGTTTTTTTCTTTTTGAAACCACAACGTTGGTTTGTACTTTTAAAGTAATTCACAGTTTCCGAAAACCTCGTTTTATTTGCCTCGAAATAAATTCGGCACCGCTAGTGCGCGTAATCGACACCGTTAGCGGGCGGAATTCGAACCACTTTTTTTTCGTATCAATTTGAATTTAATAATTTATAATTTCAAGTTCATTGTTTTTAGGTAATTCTTTTTTGTTTTACAAACAGTAATATATAAATAGAAAATGCATATTCTAAAATATACCCGTACAATGCTCGATAATTTACCGTTCACACGGCACGTGTGAAAACAAGAAATTGAAGAGTTCGATAGCTGAAATATATTCAGATGTTTCTTCCTTTCTAATGAGCAACTCTCATTTTCTTTTTATAGTTTTTAGAAAAATGTATAGACTTTATATGAAGAAATGAAATTACCACCGTCCTTCTATGTTTTAAGTCATTTACAACTAAAAATACCTAAAAATATTTTTATCTAAATAAACTTTATTTATTTAAGTACAAAACTTTGCCTTTCCCTTTTATTACAAAACTTTAGAAAAATATGTTTATATCCAAGAAAATGTTGGGTATTTTAAATAATCAGTGCTAACTTAGAATTAATACAAAATATCTTCGACAAGTCAAAACTTTAAAATCTGCCAAAATAGGATGTTTGATAAAAAAAAAGTACGTTCGAAAATCGTAGTATGTTTAAATTTCTTAAATATTGTTAAAATTTTGTTTCTATGTTGCAAATTTATTACAAGTTTGAAAAAAATCCTAGAAATCACTAATGAGCCTTATTCTAGTTGTCGAAGTAGAGCGATCGTTATTGTCGTTACGACTTGAATTTGATATTCTAAGCGGCGATCGCAGTGACACTTGTCGGGGAATAGCGGGAAAATGTGGCCCAGCCATATTCCAGTTGTCGTTCTGATGCGAGATATGTCGTAGTGAAACTACGTTTTTTGTCGAAAAGTATTTAAAAAGTGACAATCAAGAAGGACCAAAAATGCAAGTTAAAACAAAACAATTTAACAAAATTTAACAAAAATTAATTTTATACATAAATTAAGTCATAAAATATATAATTTAATTTTTGCTTTTAGCGTGAAAGTATTTATAAATTTGAAGAATTGGAAATTTCATTACAGAGAACGCCTTTTACAGGTACTCGTTTTTCCCTCAAATATATTCAGTAAATACACAAAGGTCTCTTTTGGAAGTCTGTAATAGTTTACGAGTATAAATCTGTGAATAAAATAAAATGTTTGCAACTTACTTGAAAAAGTTATTGTAATGGCTTACACTCCATTTGGCAAATCCAATGGATTACAGTCGACGCTAATTTTAAATCTTTTGATTCTTAATTGTTGTTTTTTTTTAATTTAAACGATAATGCAAATGACATTTTTTATTATTTAAAAATAAATACATACACCGAAAATTTTTTTTGGTTTGAACTTTACTCGCCGAAATTTCTTTTTAAGTTGTATCAATTTCATTTGAAACGTTTCATTTTCGATTATTTCTCGCACTCACGACACTCGACAACCAGTGATAGCGACAACGACAAATGTCACGTAGGAGACTCGACTACTAGACCAAGGCTCAATAGTTTGTTGTTATTGGTTACATTTGTGTATATTCAAATAACTATTATAATTTAATATACAATGAGGAAAATAAATTGAGGAAAATCGTACGAATTAAACCGTACGGAAAACGGATTGAAGCAGTTCGGAAATTTTTTTTAAATGCGGTTATCTTATACTAGCCAGGGCACTGGCTTTTATGATTTTAGAAGTTTTTAAAACACTAAATTTTACCTTACAAAACTTGAAAAAACTTTAAATATTGAAAAAAAAAACCCTTTTTTCAATAATCAAACAATTTTGTTCAATAAGTATTATACTAGACATAATAAAACTTTACATACTAAAGTTTTACTAGTATAAATACGAAAACTTTTAAAGTTTTTTCAAAATTTTATAAAAATTAAAGAATAACATATCACGTCAAGTGATGCGACTAAAAGATTATGGGTAATTATTAAAATTTTCAGTTGAACAGTAAAATTTTGATATGATACTGAGAAAATTCGAAATATCATTTTAATATAAAAATTATTTGGTTTTAACAAAAACTCATCACTTTAAAAGAAAGACAAAATTAAGAAAACAAGAAAATATAACATATTATGCTCACACAGTTATGAAAAAATCAATGACAATCAATGCAGTTTACTGCAATTTAATGCAGTTGCCATTTAAATCTATACAATCTCAAAGAGTTTCATCGAAAATAATGGCAATAATACCATATTCGTTTTTACAAAATTGAAGCGGTGTAGTTGCAATAATTTCTATAATATTGAACCTTTCGAAGTTTCAAAGTAATATAGGTCATTTCATAATACAGAACAAACTTTCAAAGTTGTATTTACGACAGCACATCATGCGATTTCAACGACTCTAATCGTATATGTACATAACAGCCCTAATAATATATCCACTTAAGCGATGGAATTTTTAATGCTATGGAATGTATGTGTATAAACATATTCAAAAAAAAATAAATTTAATTTAACAACTTCCAGGATATAGTCAATTCGTTTTATTTATTTTCATATCCTACAATTAGATCCTATAATTAGATGAAAATAGTAAGAGCATTCATTTATATATATGTATATAAGTTTTGAATGCAATAACTTGAAATCTACAGAAAAGGTTGAATGTGTTAAATAACGGATTATAAATACTAAAGGCAGGAGCACCATTGTTTTTCCAAAAAATTGAGAAAGTTAAATTGAGTATTTTATAGTCAACAAATTAGAAATATTAAACGAAGGAGCATCCTAGTTGTCTCCTTCTTTACTCCAAGCGTTGTCAAAGTCGTAACAGGAGCGTGTTAATTTTTTTTATTTTTAATATACTATAAATATGTATAATTTGTAAGTTGAAATTTTTTAAATAAGAATAAAAAATATTTTCGTTCGAAATATCTCTGAAAACAATCATATTTAAACACACCTCATTAATTTTTTTCTCTTTGAATAAATTTATTTCATAGATTGAAATTAAATACTAAGTCCTCGAGATACGACATCTTCTAATACGACTTTTCGATTTGCGACATGATATCACTTTGGATCATTTTTATTCGGCTTACGAGATTGTTCCTAATACGACATTGAAAATTTAAAAACAAATTGTTTTTTTGACAGATTTTACTGTTTTTTGAATAAAAATCTATACCGAATCTAGTTATAAGACAAAACTAAAGCACATACTTCAATAATCAATTCTTTTTGTTAAAAATTCTAGTTAGTAGTTAAGATTATGAATTGAAGTGATAAAATATCAACTTAATCAGATTTTTTTTTATTAATTATTATTACAAAATTGTATTTTTTTGGTTTTGTTATTATATTTTGTTGTTTTTTTCAAACTTTGTTACCTTTTTTAAAAAAAAGATCAATTATTTTATAAAACAGTTTGTCTAGTTCATTTTTTGTTTCCATACATTTTTTTCCCTCCTCAAACGACAATCCGAGTTACGACATAAATTTCTGGAACCAAAAATGTCGTATCTCGAGGACTTAGTGTACATATTTTTATATCACAACACCTTGCGGCGCTTGAAAGTGAACATATTTTTTTTCGATATTTTTCGATTTTGCGCTGCCTTGGGTGTTACTAGCAATGTGCTTCTTGTTAATGCTAGCGAAACATTTTTCAATCTGAAACATCGTTGTAGTAACGTTTCATTAAATTTTTGAATTTCTGATGTAAGATGACTCTTAAACCCTGCTCTTTTTCACAAATTTTAAATAATATTTTGGTTATTACTGACTAAAGTAGATAGTATATATATACTTCCTTATTAATTAACTGAGCTTCACATATTTATTAATTAAAAAATAACATATTTTATGAATAATTCGCACTATTATCTCATTTTACTGCATTCAATGAAATCTCACCTTCCTCATGTATTTCGTTGTTGACCAAATCTTTGCTCTTTAAACATAAATATTAACAAAATAATTAACATTAAAAAAAAAACAAATTTTTTATTACATACAAATTATTTAAATCTGGCATTACATAAATTTTAACACATAATTTCTTTACATATTTCGAATCAAACTGTTATGAACATAGAGTACTATTTGATAAAATATTTGAAATGAAAACCTCTTCAGTCCACTTTCTTTATTTTTCATTCTGTAATCCACTTTCTTTTTATCATCACTTCTAGGAAAACTGCAAATATATAAAAAAATATAATTTCAAATATCGTTTTGCTTAGAAAAAAAATCCGCTCCGGATAAAATAATATCGTCTGAAGCAACTTTGTTAATGTAAAGTAAAACAAAAACAAATGTTTTATTCTCAAAATTAAAACTTCATAAATTTATCAGCTATGAATTAAATAAAACCAAAGACGTTAAAAATTAAACACTAACACGTTAAATTTTTAAAATCTTTACTAAAACACTATTGAACAAATATTTCTTTTATTTAATAAAATAAATAATATTCACACATGCTATGGAAACAGCCATTTGTTTTTCCATTAAGTGGGAACAACAATTTGAAACTATGCACCTTTTTTTTTCTCCAAAACATATTTGTTTATTTTTTAACATGTTATATTTTTTTTTATAAGTTTTTATAAAATAATATTTCCTTTTTTAAGACTTATTATTAAATATTTTATAGTTTTTTATTTACAAACTGCTTTCGTTTTAAAACTAAGATCATGAAACTTTCCTTTTTTACGTTTTATACCAGCGCGGCGGCGTACTTTTTCAAGAAAAAACAAAGTTTAATGTCAATTTCAATTTGACAATGCTTAGAGCAAAGAAAGAAGCTTACCAAAAGTTTTTGGCTTCACTGTTTTTCTTTTCAAAATACGATTTTATAGAAAGTGCAACCGAAATAGAAACAAGGATGCCTTTAGTATTTCTAATTCGTTGGTTATAGCAAAGTAATAAAAAAATAAAGAAAGTACAAGAACATTATAAAAGAACATTAAACAATTCTTCAACTTCCTCAAAATTAAAGTTTAAAAGCCAGGCTTTAATTTTTATAAGAAAAACCCTTCAGTTACGCTCTATTCTAATTTCAAGAGGCAGGCTGTTGAGAACTTTAGGTGCCAAAACCATTTAGGTATGATCCATAAGACTTTATAAAAAAAATTTTTAAGGTTTTGTTAAAACATAATGTAAGGATATTTAAATTGAAAAAAAACGGAAACTTGAAAAACATCTATTTTTGCTACAAGTAACCTTAATTAAATGTTTTTGTGAGATTAATAGTATTTAATTTACTCATGTAAGTATCACTCCGCAAAAGATACCATACAAAATTTTAGAATCAAATAGTGCAAAATATATACATATTTCTTCATTCCAACTCAGTTTATTATTCAAAGTAAGGCCCATATGCTCAAACGACTTCACAATTTCAACTGAAAAGCAATTCGAAGAACAATTGTCAAATTTACTGTAAAGTTCACCCTCGAAATGTGTTTTAAAAAATTGTTAGAAATAAATCCATGAGTTTCTTAACTTCAAGTGAAGAAATTTCATTAGAGAAAAGACTATCTCAATAGGTGTAATCATGTATAATATCACTTAAAATAGAATAAGAACACCAACTAGAATTATTAAGGGGAATAAGATTATTAGAAATACTTGCAAAATATTCATTAAAATAATTCGCCAAAATTTCCGAACTGGATAATATGTTTTGATTTCTGGCATTTCATTTTTAACTTAAGAATAAATATGGTAATGGAAATTTATTTTGAAATAAAAATTTTTGGTTAAATTGTAAAACGTACTCTTCGCTTTAGTTTTTTTATTCTTTATTTAATTTAATGTCATTTACTCCTATTGCAAAGTAATAATTATCATTTTAAATAAAAAAAAGTACATAACAAATAGCGTTACTACTTATTTAAGGCCTAGATAAGAACCATATAATTAGTTGTGTTTTGAGCTGTCATTTTTTCCGTATTGAATGACTGACATAAAACTTGAACTGGAGCAAAAGAACACAACTAAGCCTATAATTAATGCCATATATATCTCTCAACCGACCAAGCTCACAGAGTAACTCAAAAATAAATTCCAAATGTGGAATGAAATGAGTGTCGAATGTGGAATTATGTGAAGAAATTGATTAATATTTTTAGCTCTACTATTTCTAATAAAAATAGGTTGCAGAAGTCTGAAACGCTCGTAGCTTTTGGATAATAATAAAAAATTTCTACCAAATCCACCATCTCACAAGTTATCGCCTCTCGAAATTTGTAAAAGTCGCATTTTTGGCAGCATATACTTCCGAAACTGCAATCTTTTTCAAATTTCTATGGATGAAAGCTAACAATAAACGACGCAGTCAACCCTTGAATTCAAGCATTATGTAAGTATCAAAAGGCAGTATTCTCGCTTGGAAAATTGTTACTTTACAAACCATTTAAAGTTTGAACCAACTTTAATTTATTTTGATCATAAAAAAACAAATATCTACGTATGTGTAAGTGCCTACACATAATATGACAAAATGTGTACTTATTAACGCAGCCAGCACTTTTAATAAAAAAAAACATAGCCTTCTTTTGGAAAAAAATATTGAAAATCAAATCATAAGAAAAATTTTTAAATTTTCAGGGCTGACAGAAAATACAGGCCTGAATCCTAAATACAGGACTGACAGTTAACAGCTGATGAATTTACATGTATTCTTATGGGATCTATAGAGGGCCCTTTTTAACATCATAAATCTCCCACAAGATTTTCAAATTTTTTATTAGAAAAAGTTAAAATTCAATCTTTTTCTACTTTACTAGTGCTTACAATCTTAAAGTTTTGTGTTATTAAAACATTAAAAAATTGATTTAAAAAAACCCTTCCAAGTTCCGTTCATTTTTTTAAGATTTTAATAAATGCTGCACTACAGGAAGAAAAATATAGTGCAATTTTTTTTTTCGAAGTTTTATTTGATTTTGGTGTATTTTTTTAAATTTGAGGAAATCTACATTTGATTTTAACGAGTTTGCTAATTTTGTATGATATGTCTCCCAAAATGCATACTTCTTCACATATACATATATCTATGTATTCATGTGTAATCTATATATATCACACGTGTATAGTACATTAATTAAACTTATATGCTTCATAATTCATAAAAATTACTGCGTATGTGAATTATTTTTATATTAAAAGTCCTAATTTTTTTAGGTATGTATGTGATTATAGTTTTATTAGGAATTATTTTCACATTGTTAGTAAGGCTAACACGCTAATTTACCTAAACTATCGCATCAGAAATTTTAGAACTTATACAAGTTTCTTATTTATGTGAAGAAATAGATTAATATTTATTAAAATTTTTAAATATAATTATATATTTTTATAACGATTATGAACTTTCAAAAGCACTTTCATAATTATATTACTTAAAATCAAATAATTACAAACTTGAATTAAAATCTAATAAAACTTTTATTAAGTTTTTTTTAAGTGTATTCTAGACTAAAATATATAGCACCAAATTTTTTTTTATTCACTGTATTATCATTTTTTACCCTAAATTCTCTCAAACATATTGTCTGACATGGCGGTACAAAAAAATGCGGAAAAAACTCGGAAATATATTTAATCAAAATTTTCGATTGAAATTTGAATTTTTGATATGTAGTTCCGAAAACTCCAAATTTCATGTTATAAAAAATTTTTAAGTTTTAGTCAACTTTTTTTCTATATTTTTTAGTCTAAAATACACAACTTAAATAAAATTAATAAAATTTTTATTAGATTTTCTTTAAAGTTTGTGATTATGTGATTTTAAGTTTTATAATTATGATAATGCTTTTAAAATTTTACAATCATTATAAAAAATGCGTAGTTTCAAGTTGTCTCCTATATAAAAACAAATAATCAAAATACTACAAAGAAACTTGTATAAGTTTTAAAGTTTCCGATGCGGTAATTTAGGTAAATTAGTGAATTAGCTTTACTAACAATTTTATCTTATTTTCAACCTTAAAATCTTATTTCACCAAAATAAAGGTTTTCAAAGTTACTATTGTTACAGTACTTAAATCAGTAAAATTTGGAAATAGTGACAATTTTTCGATTTTTTACAAGCAAGAAAGCTTGGGCAAGTAAAATTTTTGTGAAAATTCGTTAAAATCCCAGTATCTCCGAAACGGTTCAGTTTTAACAACAAGTTCCAAACAAAAATTTTACCCATTTTTGATGCGCTAAACGATATATAATATTGTATTCTTTACTGAATCACCCTGTATATGTGATTATATCAGAAGTATTTTGGGAGATATATCATACAAAATTAGCAAATCGTTAATATCAAATGTACATTTTCTCAAATTTGAAAAACTACACCAAAATGTACCAAATACTTCAAAAAAAAAATTGGACTATTTTTGTTTCTTCCTGTAGCATTTATTGAAATTTTAAAAAAATGAACGGAACCTGGAAGGTTTTTTTTTTTTTTAGATTTATTATTTACATAAAGCGCTAAAACTGGTCAAAATGACCAACCACCAGCTTGTTTCTGTAATCCTAGCCTAATTAAATAATACTTGCTGAATCACACACTTGCTCTTCAACATCTGCTTCCTGTCAAATCAATTTCATATTATTATAATATACACATAATATAGACATCTTTGGAAGGTTTTTTTTAAATCAATTTTTTAATGGGGGACAAAAGTTGACATGGGCCCTAGTCAGTCTCACATTTTCCTAACATGTGAGGCTGAAAATGCTAGGAAATGTCCTCTGAAAACATCAGCTCTGCCAACAAATCCGACTCTCACCTCCTAGAAGGTAGGTAACACAGTTATCTGCCGGATGTCTCCTGGGCAACTTACTTAGTAAGGCTGACGAGAGCGGGTGAAAGCGAGTACTCAGCGCTTAATCCGGGTTTCGTTGGTTAGGAAGCGCGCGGGTGGTAAATCCAGAAGCGTCTGACCTAGAATAGGCGGCTCCCTGGTCTGCGTCTGATCCCTGAGGGACGGCAGATTTTGAATCCTGGCAGTAGGTATAAAATGCAAAATTTAATCATTTGTGCAATGGACAAAACAAAAGGATTTAATACGTCAAGTGGTAATTCAACTACGTTGGAGAATCCACCCTCTTCGGAGGTCGGCTCTACGGATTCTGGGGAGAGCCATTTATTGCATTTGATTGATCCGTTCAGGAGGAACGCGTAAACCCGGCGTTCACCACCTACATCTGATGTGCGGATTTTAGAAAAGAATAGAAATAGAGAAGGTGGACTACCAAACATTCAAGCTCCACAGACCAATAAGGGTATAAACATGAGTAAAGCTCAAGACAAAGAAAGTGATGATCAGAGTGCTGACATACACAAAAGGATTAACCAACTGTGTGGCTTTGAAAAGCGAGGTTCTTCAACTGAGGGCTGAAAATGAGAAACTAAAGAAAGAGAAGCATACGCAAATTACAAACAATAAGTCTAATGTGGGCAGTCACAAAGAAAAAGAGGCTGCACCACGAGCAAAGCAGGTGAGGCCAGTCTTAGACGCCTACTCAACAGATGAGGAGGAACTCGCCAGAGAAACGGATTGGATCCTAAAACAAAAGAGGTTCAGTAAAAAAAGAAAAGCGGAATCGTCTCCGGAAGTGGTTCAGGTGACAACCAACGCTGAGAAAGCGGATGTTCCTGATTCTAAAAGTCGAGGCAATGTCACGAAAAACTCTAGACCGCCACCAGTAGTCATAAGTAATCTGGTTGACTATAAGAAAATAGAGTCAACATTAAAAAATAAGGACATCAATTATAAGGTTAAAATGATGAACAACAATCAATTTAAGCTTATTGTAAATTCCGAAATGGACTACAGGAATCTTACCAGAGCCATGAATGAATCTGGACTAGAACGGCATACCTATGAAAACAAGCAGACCAGACCAATAAAAGTCATGGTAAGAGGTCTTCACACCAGTTGTAAACCTGAAGATATAAAGAAAGACCTAAGCTCTAGGGGTTACAAGATCTTAGATGTAACCAATAAAATTAAAAAAATGAAAGAAAATGGGAAAAACATTATGGTGCCTCTACCGCTGTTTATGTTAACATTCTCAAATGAAGAAGAGATGAAAAAAATTTATGAAATCGATTACATAAACAGGATGAGTTAGGATAAAGGCACTTCGAAAGGACAGGACCATTCCGCAGTGTAAAAGGTGTCAAAGGTATGGGCATACACAAAAATTTTGCCAGAGAGAACCGAATTGTGTTAAATGTGCAGGCACTTAACATCAGATTGCAGTAAGCCAAAGAGTACTGCAGCAAAGTGTTCCAATTGCTTGGAGGCCCACCCAGCAAACTATAGGGGATGCCTTGTAGCTAAGGAACTGCAAAAACGTAGAAATTTGAACAGCAACAACAACCTGAAGAATTCTGAACGGCCACCGAGGAAATTCACCTCGAGGATAGTCTCAAAAGATGTAACATACAGGGACGTTCTCCAAACGAAAACTGATGACGGTGGCACGAGCAATAAAACAAGGGCCAGTGACGTGAATGTTTTGTATAAAATGCAAAATATGATGCAGAACATGCTAGATATGATGGACAAAATCTCTCAGAGATTGAGTATTTTAGAGAGCGAAGGGAAAAAATCGAATACCAAAAGACCTGGTAAATGATAGCACGAGGTAATTTTAAAATAGCAACATGGAATTGCAATGGTATTGCAAATAAAAAGGACATGCTTGAAGTTTTTCTGCATACACAGAATATAGACGTGTGCCTCGTAACTGAAACACATATAACCTTAAGAAGCAAGATTCGGTTTCCAGGTTATAGAATTTACAACTCGAACCATCCTGGAAATATAGCGAAAGGCGGAACGGCGATAATAATAAAAGAAAATGTGGTGCATTGCGATCTGCACCAGATGCAAACCGAGGGAATGCAAATGACAGCGGTTCAGATTACTTCGACTAAGCAAAAATTTAGAGTGACTGCATTATATTGTCACCCCAGATTTAAAATTACGGCAGAAATGTTTTAAGACGTTCTGACAGACCTAGGCGATAGATTTATATTGGGGGGTGACTTTAACGCCAAGCACACTTATTGGGCTTCAAGGCATAATTCAACTAGAGGAAGAGAACTTAGGACAGCAATTGGGGGCACGGGGTGCCTTTTTCATTCTACTGCAAAGAAAACGTATTGGCCAACCGATGTTAATAAGTGTCCAGATTTAATAGATTTCTTCATAACGAAACGGATTGCGAAAAATTTCATCGAGGTACATGATAACTACGATCTTGACTCCGATCATTCGGTGGTTATTCTTGTACTTAAGGAAAATATAGTTATGAAAAGAGCGAAACCTGCGCTGACAAATGGAACTACAGATTGGTCAAGATTTCGCTTAGAGATTGAACGACATATAGATCTAAGGAAAAGAATAAGAACGACCCAACACATAGATGAGGAGGCCGAAAACTTTTCTAAAATTATTCAAAATGCGTCTTGGAGTAGTTCCAAAATTAACGTTATTAGGAGGGGGGGCATTAATTATCCCCCACATATACTAGCAAAAGTAAAACGAAGCATGCGGGCGAGAAAAAGGTGGCAGCAAACGCGTGATCCTGCTGATAAAACCAGATATAATCATGAATCGCAGCAACTAAGACGCTGTATTAGAAAATACAAAGAGGATTCGGTTGCTGATTATGTTCAAAATTTGACGGCGTGTGAGAAAACCAATTGCTCACTGTGGAGGGCAACAAAGAAAATGAAGCAACCTATCAAACATCTCGCTCCTATTAAAAACAGATATGGAACGTGGGCAAAAACTGATAAGGACAAGGCAAATGCGTTTGGCCGATATATTCTGCCCGCATGACAGCCGGAGCGTGTATGAAAATGCGGAATCTGCTTTTGTTGGGGATAGCGTGACTATTCCAATTGTCAAGGAAAGAGAAGTCATAGAAGAAACCAGGGCTCTTAAACCTAAAAAGGCCCCAGGATTTGACCTAATAACGGCCGATACTTTGAAAGAATTACCCAAAAGGGGTAAACGATGCTTATGCGCCTAATAAATGCGTGTATAAGGTTCAATTACGTGTCTGAAATTTGGAAAGTTGCAGAGATAATCATGCTGCACAAACCTGGCAAACCTATAGACAAGGCGACTTCTTATAGACCAATCTCATTGTTGCCTATGATTTCAAAACTGCTAGAGAAACTTTTATTGAGAAGACTCCAGCCTATAATTGAAAGTAAAAGGTTAATCCCGAATCATCTATTTGGTTTTCGCCGCAACCAATCAACCATAGATCAGATTCATAGAATAACTGACCTAATAGAAAATTCACTGGAAGAAAAAACAATATGTTCTATCATATTTTTGGACGTAGCCCAGGCCTTCGATAAGGTTTGGCATTGGTAAACTTAGGCGATTACTACCAAGGCAGTATGTTAACCTGCTCGAATCTTACCTGACGAATAGGGTATTTCGAGTTAAACAGGACGAGGAGTACTCTTCGCTTAGGGATATCAAGTCGGGGGTACCACAGGGGAGTATATTGGGCCCGATAATATACTTGCTATACACGTGTGATATTCCTGAATCGGAAGGAGTGACAACAGCTACATTTGCTGATGATACAGCAGTTATCGCAATAGAACGAAATGAAAATTAATCTACACAAAAATTACAAAGGGCCAGTGATGACATCTCAAAATGGACTAGAAAGTGGAATATAAAACTTAACGGGGTGAAATCAGTACACGTAAATTTCACTAATAGGAAAATTGACAATTCATTTTCGGTTCGAATAAATGGCGTCTTGATTCCGTCCGCAAACACAGCGAAGTATTTGGGAATGACGTTGGACGCGAAGTTCAGATGGAAGGAGCACATAAAGAAAAAGAGATCTCAATTAGAGGAGGAATACAGAAAGTTTGAATGGCTTTTGGGGAGGCGTTCCAAATTGACAATATACAACAAAGTTTTGATATATAATCAAATATTTAAGCCTGTCTGGGCTTACGATATTCAGTTATGGGGCTGCGCCGCGCAGACTCATATCCAATCTATACAAAGATTTCAAAATAGGGTATTACGGGACATTGTAAACGCCCCTTGGTATGTCCGTAATGCCGATATACACAGGGATCTCACGATCCTAAGTGTCACAGACGAAATTAAAAAGCAAGCAGCCAATCATAAAATGCGTTTATCCAATCATGTCAATATCGAGGCGGCTCGATTGGTTAACAATCAAAACTTTGTTAGGAGACTTAAACGTACGAGACCTCTCGAGTTAGTTTAGAGTTTTTTATGTGGAACAATGAGTACTTAGTACACTATTGTGCCAGATCAAAAGCTTGTAAATAATCAAAAAGGTTAGAGCAAAATTAATGGTTAGTCGTTTTCGACTAGTTTTATAGTTTATTTTGTGGAGGGTGTTTTTTAGTGGATTAAAGTTGCACACTACTACTTTTCGTCTGGCAGTGTCTTTCGAGATTTTTCACCCTTTCTCTCGGTAAAAAAAAAAAAAAAAAAAAAAAAAAAAAACAAAAAAAAAAAAAAAACTTTTTTAATGATTTAATAACACAAAACTTTAAGTAGAAAAAGATTGAATTTTAACTTTTTCTAATTCTAAAAGTTGATCTTATGGGAGATTTATTATGTTAAAAAGGGCTCTCTTTAGATCCCATAAGAATACGTGTAAGTTCGTCAGCTGTGAACTGTCATTCTCTCTTAAGGTCCAGGCCTGTATTTCTGTCAACCGTGATTGGTATTCAGTGTTCCCACTTGTTAAAAACAAAATGTATCTAATTTCGAGGAAAAAATGTATCCAAAATGTATCCAACCTCATAAAGTAGAATTTTTATACCAAGCCGTCCTATTGTTGGTTTTTTTATTTATAGTAAATTCTTTAAGAAATCACATACAACTTCTATTATATTTTAAATGTGAAAGTTAAGGTCAGAAAAAACATATGCATATATGCCTTCTGTAGTTGTTGAACTATGTGCTAAAGACAATTCACCATTAAAACGGAAAAATTTAAAAAAATAGGTACAGCCAATGCATTTTCTGTTACAACTAGCTTATTTCAAAATATTTCTGGTACGTTCTTGTCTAAATCTTCTAGATTTGAATACAGGAAGAGGCAGTACTGATTTAATAAAGCAGATTTCTTACTTTCTTCTAGTAAACTCGGAAATCTGCTTAGAAAGGCCAGCAAATAACACTTTTTAAAGATAAAGCAAATTCGCGTTTTAATATAAGCAGCATTTTAACAGTTTTGTAACATTTATTTAGTGTTTGAGAAATAAATGTATATATATTTCAGCAAAATTTTGAAATGTAGCCAATTTCGGCATCAAGTGGGAACGCTGTTGGTATTGATTATTGAATTGAGAGTTGAGATTGTCAAATACAGAACGTTAGAGTCATAATTAAAGCATAAAAATCTATTAAATTTAATTTGCTGCATCTAACAGATAATTTAAGAAGTATAATGGCTGAAGCCGAAACAACGGTAGGAAAAAAGTTAGTTGATATATTTTCTGAAAGTTTAGAACTTTTAGATGGTATAGAAAATTCAACCTTAGCTTTTAATAATCCCGAATATCAGGTACGTATTTATATATGTATACTTAGATATGTTTACAAAAGATTTGAGTATATCACATAAAATACAAAATCCTCATTTTATACGTATATGTGTATAAAAAGAACAATTAATTAAAATGCACTAATTATTTCGTACATGTAGGAAAACGTAAAAAAATGTATTGGGTTATTGGAAGATTCTACTAGACTTGTAAATTTAGTAGGAATGTTCAGTTCAAATGAAAATGTCGAAGAAATTCCTACAGAAAATTTGGAATTTTTACTTTTGCCGTTTTTTTTAGGGCAATTAGTTCAAAAATTACAAAATGAAGATCGGGAAGCAACTTTACAGGCTTCAAAAATTTATTTCAGGTAATCAACTAAACATGTACCCTTTCCTTGTTCAACATTACATTTGTAACTACAATGAATATATATATATATATATATATATATATATATATATATATATATTTCTATTATATTTATTGTATATACCTATTTGATTTATATTTTTTTTTTGCTTAGAGATTTTTTAAAAAGATGTGATGATTACGGAATAGTGGAATGCAATAAACATGTCAATATCGAAAATCTTAATGAACAACAAACTTCAAACGATCAGTTTAAAAGCTTATTGGAAGCCGCTGATAAACGAAATTTAAAAATTGAACAATATCGAAAAATTAAGGAACTGCAAGAACAAATTTCTAGTTTAAAATTGGCCGCAAAAAATCCCAATGTTGATGAAGAAATTAAACGAAATTTATACATAAAACAAATTAATCATGGAATATTAAAAGCCTATGAAGAACTTTCTTCAATCGATGAAGAATTGAAAATGCTGAACTATCGCAAAAATATTTCAACACAAACAAACAATGGTAATAGCATTTCGCGTTCTCGAATTTCTCAATATGCTAATAAAACAAGAACGGCATTAAAACCAATTATTATAACAAAGGACTTTGCGCAGAAAGCAGTTTTTGGCATGGGTTATCCCAGTTTACCCGTTATGACAGTTGCCGAATTTTATGATCAACGTGTTCGCGAAGGAATATTTCCTGATGAGGAAAAAAGTAAGCAAATAAATGCAACTATGTTTACAAATCAGGCAGAAGCTGAAGTAAAGGATGATTTAGAGAAAGCAGAGCAAGAAAAGCTCCAGGAAGAGGACGATGAAGAATATTTAGCGAGAATGCGAGCAAAAGATGAGTACAAAGACGTTGTGCGGCGCGGCGATGGAAACCGATACAATCGAAGTTAGGAATATTTAATTTGTCACTGTGCAGCATTGTTTGAAACAAGAAATAATGTACTAAAAGTCTAAAATTTGTATAGTGCTACGTATACATCAAGACCTTTCTAAATTATAATATACAACAATTACTTAGATCAAAAATTAAACATCATGTCAAAAAAATTGCAGTTTTAAAGTTTTTTTTTTGTTTTTGATACTTTTGTAACTTAAAACGTACTATTAGTTTATGCGGTCTTTGATTTTTTTATTAAACTAAATTTGACATTTAAGGTAAAATTTTAGCAGCCTATTTCGAAATTACCCCTGCAAATTCAGAATCACATTATATTTTAGAAAATAAGTGCAACATTTCACTTTTTATATTACCACAACTTGATACTTTTTTTTCTATTAACATTTCATTTAGTTGTTGCTGAAATAATACATACATATGCATATACATACTTACATTTAAGATGACATTTTATCTTCACAGAATAAAAATAATCAAAATTAGAAAATCCTTTACATACATACTTATATTATTTTAACGTTCTTAATTTTATTCGCTGTTTAACAAAATTGGGTCTATTTACAAACAAATTACAAGAATAAACTATGTTACATTTAAATTTAGCCAACATTTTTAGTTAAATACGTACGCAATTGTTATAAAATTTCCTAAACGCATCGATTTTTTATAAAATTCAAATAATATGTTAACTAAGATTATACACATTATTTAAAAGTTGCTATTTTCACTATCCGCCCTTGTTTTTGGAATTCTTTATTGTATTTTCTAACTCTATTTTTTTTTTCAATTCAACCATTCTCATAAGACGAACTGTCAATTTATTACTGTTTTTGGCAGCATCTAAAAGCGTTCCGCCTAAAATAAATTACGGGCATTATTTAGTAATTAATTAATATTTTATCTATACCTTCTTTAGAATACATAAATACTACCGGTATCGAAACATCATTATTTCCATCTCCAGACATTGCGAACATAGATTGATTTTCTCCAGATGTACCGGGTACATTATCACAGATTATCAGCGCTTTAGCGCCAGACTTTTGAGCATTGCGAGATTTTTCAACAAAAGTGCAATCACCACGTTCAACTATGGCAATTTTGTTATTTAACTCATTAGAATTGATTGCTCCAGAGCATAAACGGAAAGGTTTCGCAGATGCCACTTCGCCTTCTACGAATTCCTCTCCAATTAGTTCTGGACTAAAATGACTTGGGCCAGCAACTAAAACTGTTAAAGTATCATCCTTATTTCGATAATAAACAGCCTGTTGAAACTTAAATTTAGTTTTGTTGAAAAAAATTTTACATAAAAATTTTAAGGTTTTAACTAGCTGTATATGTACATACACCAGTTCCTTGATTTTGTGACGGCAAGGCGTTACACATAACTGTTTCGTAAATCTAATCGCCCTTAAACGAAGTTTTTTTAAAAATGTATATGTATTCTTATATTCATAGAACATGTATTCTACTTATAATCTAAGTGAATATTGTTCAAATTTTGTTTCTTTTTCTCGTATTGAAAAGAAAATACCTGTGTACATAATATACCCAAATGTAAATACCTACATAGAAATATTTTAAAATGTGCATAGATATATACATTTTCAAAAACAATTTATAATTTATTAATTGTTTCTAAGAACTGTCCCAATTGCAGGTAAGTCAATGTGTGAATTAGTAAATTCTAAAACAAAGATGCCGTAATTCCAGAACCTGGTGTATATATTCAATATTTAAATTCTCTAACTAAAAAAAGCAAAATATTTAATTAGGATGTTTGCGAATACTTACTTGCAGTTGATCAATATGATTCACACTTTGAGTTTTAGTTAGCTCCAACATTTCTTGCATGAATAATATACCCAGTTCTCCGTCTTCGGGGCTCTTGGCCTAAAGTTGGGATGGTTCGCATAACGATATATTGTTATAATTATAGAAGTTAAATTTTAAAAATTGAATTTTTTATTGCTTACATTGTAAAAACTGTGAAACAGTCGAACCTTTCCATCACCTAAGGAAACCATTGTGATACCCATATCGTAAACAGCTCGTAAATGATCAGCATTAGTTGCTTGAAAGTCCAAAGCTCTTAACTTTTTTCCACTAGCCACACGTGGACATGACCCAGTAATAAGATTTTGCAGTGGTTTTCTTACTTTTTCGGGGTAAAGCTTATTTGAACTGGGGCAAGTTCTCATGAAATCAAGTACATGATGCTCATCTGTTGGTCTAAAATCTTCAAAAAAAATGAATACTTATTTAAAAAGCAGTAATACATACATAGAAATTCTTTCAAAAATTTAAGAAAAATGCTGATTAATTTCTAAAACAGCCGTTAAAGTAATCGCTGTTTTTTTAGATATTTTCTTGTTTTAAAGTAAATAACTTTCAATTTCAAAAATCAAATAAATAGAAGGAAAAGGAAAGCTATAAAGATATTATTTTGTGACCACAAATTTATCCACATTTTGTGACCACAAACAGATTAAATATTTGACTTACCATGAGTTGTATTCCCCATTTGACCTATAAACAGTGGAAGAAAATGGGCTTCTGTGGTAAATACATATTCGTCCAGGTTTAAAATTATATCGTATGGTTCAGAAAAGAGCAAATACAGATATTTTATAGTTTCCGATAAAATATAAGAATCCATTCGATCTTCATGTTTCCCAGTTCTGACATCATTTATAGCTGCATATCCGCAAGGAACTTTTGCATGTTTTTGAAGGGCTTTCAGAGCTTTTTTACCTACCTATTAATATGATAATTGAAATATGAATATCATTCATAAATTATTGAAAGTGCGTTTTAGACAGATACCTGTAAATAATAATGATCATTAGTTGCTTTATATAAAAAATAAGTGGATTCTATGAACTCCGGTCGTAAATGATGTTGCCCCCAATGAATCTGAAAGTCAGCCGTAAATGCTTCCGGTATAAAAGTATGCATCTGCATTACTTGATAAAGCATTTCGTGAGTTTGAACTGCTGGTTTTAAATCGCCAGAGAGAACCTGTAACCCAGGCCAAAAAGCTAACAAAGCATCCATAAAATTTCTTGATTTTGCATGAGGCCTGTGCATCAAAACATCCAAGAACATTGGACCCTCACTGACATATTTCATTACAGCATTGTAATGTCTGTTAAATCTTGCCAAATATCGGTCATCCCCAAGTAGAATGTATGATTTCAAAAGATATTCGTAATATGAATCAATGCCTGCACCTACTCCGCTATCACGCCTAACCCAATCCCCTGAATGCACGTTTAAGACTGTCCCCATTAAATCAGATCCACGATGTCTCAGTTTCCAAAGTGCGTCCATAGCTAAATGAGCTCTTGATTCAAATATTGGTTCGCCGGTTAACCTTGATAAAGCAGCAAACTCTAAAAGAAGTGTACCACTACAAGCAGTACAAGTTTCTCTCGACTTCCTTAATTGTTCATCCTTCATACCATATTTCAAATTTACTCTCGCATGTGGTATTCCAGTTGATGTGTTAAAAGCGGGTAACAATCTATACCCTAAATCCTTTGCCATTTCCAATAACTCTCCTTTATACCATGGCATGATATGCAAGTACTTTTTAAGATATTCTGATAATATATGAGCTGAAAGAAGTCCTCCTACCATTCGTATATTTGTTTCAAAAACAGATACCACTATATCATTATCGAATTGAACATCTTTGATAACAAGTTTGACTGAATTTTCAAACTCTTCGAAATCTCCTATAATAACTAATGTATCAAGACTGTCAACTAATGTCATTGAAAAACTAAAAAATACAAGAATTTTCAAAATAATTTTACAATTAAACGAATTTATTCATAAGTTAGTTTTAATAACTAATTCTAAAGTAAAATATGTACATATATTACATACTTTCCTAAAACATCATCCATGTCTCCACGAGATGGTGTTACACCTCTCCATCGACCTTTGCAGGATAACGGCATTAATTCATCAGCTGGATAGGCATTGTCTACGTAAGGAATAGTATATATTTAGGTTTTTGCATGTTATTAGAAAATACATACCTTTATAAGCGTTGTACGCATGATAAAACATTTCACGAGCTTCTTGCCTAAAGTTTATTGAAAAAATTATTTTTTGGAATTATTAATACTAAACTTTTGGCAATTATTATTTGGTATTTACTTTAACTCCTGTTTTTCTTTTTTTGACATTGTCCACTTTGGTATATCCGATATAGCAAAATTCCACTTAACGATTATAAGTAAAAATATGGGAAAAAAATATATATATCTAAATAAAATTTCCATATTTTCTACCTGACAGAGTGCATTAAAAATTTGATAAACATGTAATTAAGCTTTTAACTAATTTTTTTTATCCTGTCCGCAAATTTACTACGTGTAAAAAACTGACATTTATTCGTTAAATTCGGAATTTTATTTAATTTTGTATCTTTTTTCTACATTTGTTTATTTCAATACTACGAACTTGAAGTTTTTTTTATGTTAGCTTATTTTATTTATCAAAGAGATAAGATTTTCTTAATTCATTGACGTATGATTGTAAGAGTTCAAATCAAATGGCATTATGATTTATGAATGCATAAGGAAAAAGATAGCATTACCAGAGTAGTCAGATTTGCATATCATGGTATACTTAATTTTAAAAATGCAGTAGATCTAGTTAATGGAAAACATCAATTTATTCAAGATCCTAAATAGACGCGATATGTAGTATCAAAATTAAAAATTGACATTTTAAAATACGAATTGCCGTTTTAAATAGAGCATCAAACAATGAAAATGGTCGGTTGTACAGTTTTCAGTTAATTCAGTTTTCGCTGCTTTAGGGAGCGAAAACTGAATTAACTGAATTAATTAACTTAATTAAATTCAGTTTTCGCTGCTTTAGGGAGCAAAAATAGAATTTTTCTTTAAAATGCGCGGGGACTTGGAGAGTTATTTTCAAATAAGATTTTATCGCTTAATGTTTCACTTTACTTGTGTGTGATTACTTTGAATAAATAATAAATAAACGAAAGTAATGGTGAATAAATAATAAATTCACGTAAACTATGATATGTATTGTATACACGTACATATTATATGAAAAATAATTTCGAAGACAGTAAAACATGATAAATTTAAAACGGGCCAATGTTGTGTGATTTCGGTAATAAATCGAACATAGAGTCGTATCGGACGCATAGAGATAATAGATTAAGACTAGTAGTAGCAATAAATTGGAAATGTTAAGAGAATGAATATCTTGAAAAAACAATGAAGCCAAATGCTTTCCAATTGTTTCTTTATTTGTAACAAACATTTTCAAATTCGTAACAAAAGCTTATACATATGTATATGTATTTTGTTTTCTTATCTTTCTCTCTAAAAAATGTATGTAAAAAAATAAGTTAAACGCAGTCCCTCAAAAACTACACATAGGCAACTTGGGTACGTTGTACTACCAGATCTCTCCTTTTCCGCTCCTAATTCGAACCAACCCAAACACAAGAGAAATAAGCAAGAAATCTTAGCCTGACGTTCGCCGGCGACGGATATAAGCATAGTAAATGGGTCACCGTTTTTCGCGCCCTTCTCTTGCATCTTTGCTACTCAGACAATGGCTTGTCAGAACCACTATTACAGCTCAGAAATCTGCCATGTTTCGTAGCAGCAACTAATGTTTGCATAAAAGCACGCCTAGGTTCTCCTTCGCAGGTAGAATCAAAAGGGTTGTTTCATCTACCAATAACCCACCAATACACAGTATTGCCATTCTTTGAATTTTGCTTATCAAGCATACCAGAGTACCGTACATCAGGACCGCGGTATATAGTCAATACATCATGTTGCGTCTGAGACCTAATCTCTTTCGGATGGGTCTTTTACATCAGTGAAGCGCAATAGTTGCTTTCCATATTGTTGAATCCCAGTTTAATGATATTAGCAAAACATTCTTCAAATTGAAACGTCGTTACGGTAACATTTCACCAATTTTTTCAATTTCGGATTCAAAATGCTCTAAAACAACATAATTTTTAACCAATTTTAATTAATATTTTGGTTATTACTCACTGAAGTAAATGGTAAGTTGTCATATTCTTCTGCAATAATTAATTGTTAGAATTTTATTCTTAATCAGCAGGTTTCAAAAAATCACGAAATTTTAATTTTTTTTATATTTACATATTTACTGCCCAAGTTACTACAGAGAAATATTATTAAAAAAATTTATAACCAAAATCAATCAACACGTCGATGTATAGTTGCCCGCCTTAATGCGTTCCTTCTTTACTAACGTTATAGATGTTATTCGACTTTACTTTAACTATTTTATATGGCGCAAGTATCTGAATTTCAGCTTGTTACCAGAACCCATTGATGGCAACTATCCATGACTTCAATAATGCTGTAAAAAAGATTAAGTACGGTATTAATACATTTGTAATACCGTCTCAGAGCATTCAATACTTTTACATCGTAAAAAAAACTACTAAAGCTTTTCGTACATTTTGGAATACAATTTTTACACTATTATTACATATTTTGACGTTTGTTTGAAAAGCTCAATTTAAAGTTCTGTGCAAGTGTTAATTTTTAACAAACATTACCAAGTCATTAAAAACATAGCATTTTAAAAAAAAAACATAACTAGCACTTTATTGCTGAAACGAAATGCTAATTTATTTAATTGGTTATTTATGGCAACATTTATATGACAAGGTAATATAAGAAAATTGTGCTCGATTTTTTCGATAACGGATTTACTTTTATTTTACGTCTCCACTACGTATAAAATGCATTTAGGAAAAGTGTACAATGTCAAGAGCTTTTACGAAACTTTTTGGAATTTGATACTTTGTAAAATTTACGTCGTAAGCGCATTATTATCACGGTCAATTTTCAATACACCGTATTTATAGGTTAGTAAATTGTGCAATGTGAAGTCTTAGACAAAGATGTCTGTGACTGGTGACACCACTACAAAAAATGCACCACATATTTTTTACGTCTAGAACAGGTCTGTCAAACTCAAATGGATGTTGGGGCCAATTTTTAAGTTAGGTAAGAACTATGGGCCGCAAAAAAGTTAAAAAAAATAAAGTAATAAAATATCAATAAAAAAGTAATAAAAAGACTTATGTAGAATTTAATTCATGTTTATTTATAAAATATATCTTTCATTTATTTTTATTAATGAAATACATTTAATTTAATTAATTTTGGATCAAGATGTTTCAATTCTTTTTTTGGAAACTAAATTATCAATTTCTGGTTTGATGTTTTGGGCAGTTGAAACTTTTAATATTGAAATCAAATGTTCATTGGTTAAACTGGTTCTTTTTTCATTTTTGTTATTATTCATTTTTGAAAATAATTGTTCACATAAATATGTACTACCAAAATGAGTTAAAATTTTGGAAAAAAACATTTTTAAATTTTGTAAATTTTTCAGGTAAAACTTTATAAAATTCTGGAATACCAATTTCTTTATATTTTTCTTTAAGAACCATGCTGCATTACAATTCAATCAATTCCATTTGCAAATTTGGATCAGCTTTGGCAACATTATATGAAAACGGTGCCAGAAATTACTAGAAGTCTTCAGCAGATGATTGAAAACCTAAAAATCAGTCTTGAAACTCAGTTTTCAATCCTGATATATATTTGGCATATTTTTTTATATCAATATTCTGATCTTGGTATTTTTTTAACTCTGAAAAATGTGTAGTGATATTTTCTGTCAATTGTGTTTCAAATAAAATTAGTTTCGATTGAAAACAACGGATATGATCATACATATCAGTAATTATTTGGTTTTTTCCTTGCAGCTTTAAATTTAATTCAGCAAGATGTTCCGCAATATCAGTAAAAAACAATAGATCCATGTGCCACGCCTCTGTTTTAATTATTGAAACATCTTCCATTTTCATTTCTAAAAATAAAACTATTTCCTCCTTTAATTCGACGAATCTTTTTAAAACTTTTTGGCATGACAACCATCTCACTTTCGTGTAATAGTGTAATGTATGATAATGATAACCTAACTCAGCCAAAAGACTTGAAAAAAGGCGAGTATTCTTGCTCGAGATCGGATGAAATTAACTATATGTGCCACATTTTTAAGGACATGGTCCATTTTAATAATATTTGTACATAGGACTTCTTGGTGAATTATACAATGAAAAGATTTTAAAATTGAATGAGATGATTTCTTATTTTGCAAAAGAGTTACAACACCATTTGTTTACTACTATAATTGAAATTTTATTTTCAATTCAGTCTGTTTCATTTAAAATCTACAATACACATGCTATTATTTGAATTCAAATTTTATTTTCAATTCAATCTGTTCCATTTGAAACAAAGAGAAAAAGCAATTGTAAACATTATATTACGAAATGAGATGGTGGAATAATTTGAAAAATTCGATGCGATGGAAAAAAGGAAAAAACCAGTCTAAAAGAAATATAGTTAGGGCCGCAAACTTTAACCATTTAAAATTGTTGATTGGGCCGCAAATTTTACTTACTTGGGCCGCATGTTTGACAGGTATGCTCTAGAAGGTGATGTGAATTATTGGGTCCGTCTGGAATAAGAAAGTTTTTAAAAACTTTTAAAAACTTTATAAAGTTTTTGTAGCAAAGCGTCTGGGATAGTTCAAAAGGAACAAAACTGAGAGAAAATGATGACATTCCTATTTTCTCAATGTTTTTTCAAGTTTTGTAAAGTAAAATTTAGTGTTTTAAAAACTTTTAAAATCTTACAGAGTACTAATTGTAAATAAATACACATATAAAAAGAAAAATAATATACATATAGACGTATATTAGTCAAATTCAAAAACATAATTGGCATATTTATTTACATAAACCTTCAGTTTTCCAAATTGGAAAAAACACAAAAAATTAGCATAATATTTCAAAAAAAAAATGTCTTATTTTTTCGCCTGTAGTGTAATATTTTAGTGAAATCTTAATGAACAAAGTCTGGATGGTTTTTTCAAATAAATTTTTTAATATTTCTAGGAGTAAAGGAAGAAAAAAAATTTCTTTTTGAAAGGGATGACGGCTGAAGTCCCAAAGTTCAGCTACTTCAAATTCAAAAGATTTCAATTCAATCCTTTAAATTTGAAGAAGTTGATGATTTGCATTCATTATGCTTTGGAGAATTTAAATGACATTCAGTTGCGTTCAATTTATAATATTTTGTGTTAATAATTAGAGATATTAATTGCAAAAATAATCAAAATAGATACTCATGATATAGTAAAAAAAGTTGACGACGTATGAATAAATGACAAAATAGACGATAACACTGTAATACAGAAGCAAAATAAAGCCATTTTTGAGAATTTTCGCTATGAAGATGACGAAGACGAAGTTTCTGTAAGTCGAATCATTTCAAATTATGTGGTACCGGAATATCTTTTCGAGAAGGCGAAAAATCAACCTGAATAATTTAATGGAAAAGACGATTATCGTTTGGGAGGCAACGGTTATATCTAAAACCGCTTGCCGATTTTTAGTAAAAGTGGGCTCTGAGCCCCTATTACATAT